GGCCGCGGCTGCCGGGCCACAGCCAGCCTGCGCCCCCTCGCTTTTGGAAAGGCGCCGCTTTTGGAAAGGCGCCGCTTTTGGAAAGGCGCCGCTTTTGGAAAGTGTGCTGAGGGGAAGCGGCTGCTTCCTCTGCACCCCACTAGCTACGCTACTGATTAAACAATGTTGATAAGTGCAAAGTAATGCACATTAGAAAAAACCCATACCAAATGATGGGTCTAAATTAGCTGTTGCCACCCAAGAAAGAGATCTTGGAGTCATCTTGGATAGTTCTCTGAAAACATCCGTTCAATGTGCAGCGACAGTCAAATAAACTAACAGAATATTAGGAACCATTAGGAAAGAGATAGATAATAGGACAGAAAATATCATAAATGGCACTAAGTAAATCTGTGGTACAACCACACCTTGAACACGGTGTGTAGTTCTGCTCAACTCAACTCAAAAAAGCTATATTCGAATTGGAAAAGGTGCAGAGAATGGTGACAAAAATGATTAGGGGAATGGAACAGCTTCCGTACGAGGAGAAATAAAAAAGACTGGGACTGTTCAACTTAGAAAATAGACAGCTAAGGGGGGAGATGAGAGAGGTCTGTAAAATCATGACTGGTGTGGAGAAAGTATCATTTACCCCTTCACATAACACAAGAACTAGGGGTAACCTGATGAAATAAGCAACAGAGGGTCCTGTGGCACCTTTAAGACTAACAGATGTATTGGAGCATAAGCTTTCGTGAGTGAATGCGTCTGACAAAGTGGGCATTCACCCACGAAATATACAGATCTGAGTGCTGGGCACAGGATGGGCTGGGTTAATCTTGGGGAAAGCGTGTGTGTGAAATTCTTACTGCTGCGTGTAATTGCACAGGAACAAATGGGTCTCTGTCACCCTGTGTCTGTTACTGTCTCTCTTTTCCCCCAGGGGTAGCACTGAAACTTGGTTTTGATCCTCCACGCTCCCCTGCTGTCCCTTGGTGCCCTGATGGCTGGGTCGGGTACCTGGGGAAATGTTACTATTTCTCAGAGGCCGAAGGAAACTGGACCTTCAGCCAGAGCAATTGCTCCTCCTTTGGCGCCTCCCTGGCTACGATCGACACCCTGCCTGAAAAGGTGAGACGCCTCCAGACTACAAAATGGGCCTGGATCAGGGACCTGAACTTGGGTCTCTTCCCAGGTGTGTGCACTAACCACCTCACTCACTCTCGGCCCCAGCGACTGTTCAGGTGTCCTATACAACGTGGAACAGCTTCAGCAGGAGAGAGTGAGAAGGACCCACCCAGAAATAACGTCTTCCTTTTTCTTTTACAAAAAGGCTTTCATGCTGCGCTATAAAGGCCTTTCCGAGCACTGGATCGGCCTGCGGAGGGAAGAGGGCGAGCCCTGGAGATGGGTGAATGGTGCAGAATTCAACAACCTGTGAGTCTTCTCTCTTTCTAAGTGTTGGGACGCATGTGACTCGAATAAGCATTGAATCTGGACCAGTCTAAGCTTGGTTGGAAGACAAAACCACCGATAATCTTTTTCTGGCATTAAAAAGACTGGACATGGTATTTTGGAACTCCTATTCGGTGCGGGATTGGGGGGTGATGCATTGTTTAATGGAGCTGGCTTTGAGGGGATCTTAGGTCTTCTGTACGTGGGCATTTGTTTGCACTGTTGTAGCAACGTTATTGGCTGATGTCCCCCGTGTAACTGACCTGGCCCAAGATACCTTTTATTATTAGTAGTAGTAGTATTGATGTTGTCATTATGGTAGCACCCAGAGGCCCCAACTGAGATCAGGGCCCAGTTGTGCCGGGCGCTGCACAGACACACAGGGAGAGACAGTCCCTGCCCCAGCTGAGATCAGGGCCCCGTTGTGCTGGCGCTGCACAGACACACAGGGAGAGACAGTCCCTGCCCCACCTGAGATCAGGGCCCCGTTGTGCCGGGCGCTGCACAGACACACAGTGAGACAGTCTCTGCCCCAAAGAGTTCACAGTCTAACTAGACAAGACAGACCAAGGGTTGGGGGCAACAGAAGGTACAATCAGACTAAATAGCGTGATGGGCTGGAAACATCCTACCTATGGTCTGATCCCCATCCGGCCTGACGTTTTGCCTGCATTAGGGACATACCAGTGCTAACCCCAGGGCTGCATGCTCCACATGGGAGGACATCATGAAATGAACAGAATTTGATATTAAAACAAATCACAAGGGGATGCTGGGCCCAGATGCAGCGGGGGAGAGCAGTGGAGAGCGGGGTAATTAAGGCCCCGTTGCTACTTGCTTTCATCTGCTGCGCTACCCAGAATGCGGAGCCGGGACTCACGGCCCCACGGCACTTGTGTTGCAGGTTTGAAATCCGAGCCAACGGCAACTGTGCCTATCTGAACGACAAGGCTGTCGGCTCCTCGTGGTGCCACACGCTGCGCAACTGGATCTGTGCCCAACGCGATGCGTACACAAAGGACTAGGGAAAAACCAACGCCGCAGTGCCTGACGTGCGTGGAACTGGTCAGGCCAGGCTTGTCAGACTTCCAATCTGCTTTTGCTGCTGCGCTATCCGCATATATTGCAACGGGAGGAGCCCAGTCATTGCCGCGGTCATCTGTGCTGCTGTAACGTGACAGCGCCACCTGCAGGGCGCCGATAAGATGGCTGGCGAGTTCCAGACTCCGGGCTACCGTTGATTGAAGCATTTCCTTGCTGCCAAAGGGCTGCTCCAGGAGAAGAGCAATGCAGAGCTGACTCTTCCGTGCTATGTTGGGTGCTGGTGGCCGGGGCGCAAACGGTGCCGCTGAGTGACTTGCTGCTGATCCCTTCTCTGAGGATATTTACATCACAGGGGCACCCCTAGGCTCCAGTCAAAGTCAGGGGCCCCATTTTGCTGGCTGCTGTCCAAACAAACTTCAGTAAGACTCGTCCACCACCCCAGAGAACCTCACAGCCACAAACGGGATGCCAGGGAAAAGGGATACGGCTGGGGCAGAATGGCTGGGGCTTCCTACTGCCGCATGCTTAAATGCAGCCCTTGTCTGTATTTATTTCTTAATGTGTTTGTGTCCGACCCAGCAGAGTCTGATCTCTCCTTTCTAGAGGTGATGGGCTGATGAATCTCATCAGGAATTCGTTCCCGAAAGGGGTATCCAGTCATTTAAAAGCCTTTAGACAGATGCTTTTGAAACTCCCATCCAAGTGTCTTACAACTTGGAGGTAATCTCTTTTATTGGACCAACTTAGAACATAAGAACGGCCGTACTGGGTCAGACCAGTGGTCCATCTAGCTCAGTATCCTGTCTTCCGACAGTGGCCAATGCCAGGTGCTTCAGAGGGAAAGAACAGAACAGGCAATCATCAAGTGATCCGTCCCGTCACCCAATAACTTCTTTAAGCTTTGCTTCCTTTTTCTTCATATTGCAGAGTTTCCATAGAGACGGCAAAATTCGGTATCTTCCCTTGTCGCGTGTCCCATGTCGGTCCCAGGATAAAAGATATTCCCTCCCCCGCCTTGTCTCTCTCGGAAGCTTTAGTCTCATTGACAGCGGCAGAAGGAATTTTGCCGTGGGTGTATTTGATCCACCTCTCTGAGAGAATTCTTCTGTCAAGCTACATCTACAGTCGATCGTACTACGGTGCACAGGGTGTGACATTTTTCCTAGCCCTGAGCGATGCAGCTGGGTCAATCCGATTGTTAGGTGCAAACCCAGCCTTACACCCATTCTGCAGTGGTGTAAAGTAGCTGTTTAAGGAAATGTAGGGAAGCAGGCCCCAGGGCGTTCGCAATAAGGCTGAGACCAGACTGTGAAAAGTCAAGAGTCAGGGCTTAATTTCACCATCCGTCATCTCAGCCAGCCTCCCACAAGCTGCCTATCTTGGGAGAGACTTTGGGGGACTTTCCCTGTTTTGCCCTGGCTCAGTGAACCCACTAATGGGCTACAGTATTCTGTACACTTGAGAAATACTGCTGCTTAAACCTTTGTCTGTATATAAGTAGGTTTTTGTACTCTCTTTTGCACTTTGTGTAAATAAATGACCTCACTGCTGGGTCTACGGTTTTGTTCTGTCTTCTTCCCTGCGTCATTTCAGCGCCTCCTCAGTGCCAGGAGGGCTGTGTCCAGGTGGAAGGAAGAAAAGGGGATTTTCTAGCAGCTGGCCAACTAATTTGGTGGGGGGAGGAGTCTGAGTTGCCTGATCAACTGCAGAAGCAGCCAGCGCCACCCAGCCTTCCCCACCTCACCTGGGGTGGAATCTGGAGCGTGGGGTGGTTCCGAGCGGTTCTTAGCAATGGGTTTGGAGGGGGCTTAGGTGACGGGGAGGGGTGGGAGGAGAAATAGATGTTAAAGATAGTGACTGTGGTAACGAGGGCTCCATATTAAGTACCTTAGATTTAAAAAAAAAATAGATTTACGTTAGACCTTTAGGAAAAACTTTCTGTCAGGGTAATTAAGCACTGGAACGAATTACGTAGGGAGATGGTGGAGTTTCTATCATTGGAGGTTTTTAAGAGCAGATTAGACGAACACCTTCCAGGGATGGTCTAGATAATACTTAGTCCTGCCTCGGTGCAGGGGACTGGACTAGATGATCTATCGAGGTCCCTTTCAGTCCTACATTTCTGTGATTCTCTCTCTGCCTCCATTTCCCCTTCCACCTCTACAATAATGGTGATCACTCGCCTTTTGCAAAGCACTGAGATCTGCACAAGAAGGGCACAACATGCTAAGGATGATGGTTATTGGGGGTTGTCACGGATCCACACACTCAGTGCTTTAGAACAGTCCCTGGGAGGACCCCTTCAGGGTGCCAGACCCCCTTAGGGTCTCACTCTGTCACCAGGGTAAGCCCTTTGGCTTCACCACCTCCTTGGACTGAACCTCGAAGTCTCCAGCCCCCCTGCTTCACACTGTGAGCTCCCTTCAGCGAGGCCACCTGAGATGGGCCTCTGAGGGAGACGTGTACCCCCAAACGGAGCCAGGCAGCCCTCCTTCAGCATCAGCTGTGACTCCCGGCCAGCGTGGTAAAAGCAGGAGGGTTTATTAGCTGTCTGGAACACCGTGTAGAGAGTCCTTGGTTAACATAGAGAAAAACAAGTTACAGCAAGGTCCATTCTGGTTGGCCCAGAGCCCCAGCCAAAGTGGTGTGTCCCCTTCTAGCTCCCACTCTATTCTCTTTGGTCAAGATCTCAGGCCAGTCCCACCAGGCCCCTTCTGGGTCCTTGGCTATCCAGCTGCTCAAACATAGCTGGCTTCCTGCGGCGGGATGGGCCATCCATGGTCGTTCATAGCTTGGTAGCAAATGTCCCGGGTGTTGGCTTTGCCATTGTCTTCATGGACTTCCAGCGACATGGGCCCTACACTCGAGACCGGCGTCAGCCACCCCTGCCTGAGCGTAACCAGCCCTTTTCTACCTCCTAGGTGACGACGCAGCATACAGGGGAAACTGAGGCACGCACAGGCATCATACAAAAATATTACAGAAAATTCCCACTCTGTCACAGGGGTGAGCTGGACCTTTCAGAGGACTAGGAGTAGGGTGACCAGATAAGTGTGAAAAATCAGGAAAGGGAGTGGGGGGCAATAGGAGCCTATATAAGAAAAAGCCCCAAATATCGGGTCTGTCCCTATAAAATCGGGAGATCTGCTCACCCTAACTATGAAGAGCATGTGGCTCTCTCCCATCAGCTTTTTACTGAGTGACATTCGCCGGCCTTTGTTATGCAGGAGGTCAGAGTAGACAATCAGAATGGCCTTTCTATCTAGGAATCTATTATTTCTAAGGGTACCGCCTCCCTACTGTCATTGCTTAGATCAGGACGGCTTCTTTCTGACAAATCCACTTAAATTCAGCGCTGCACATTTCCGAACGCATCTGATTCCCCTTTATCACCCCACAGCTGTTTCTCACAGCTGGACCAGATACTGGAAACCTGTGGAACAAAGGGGGGGGGGGGAGAAATAATCCGTGTTAGTGTCTAGACTTCTCAAACAAAGGTCCAGAGAAGCGTCTCTTTGTATTAAATCTACTGGCCTGCTCAGCTGTAAGCATTCCATTATCTCTGCGTTTTCCCCTGCAAGGTTATAAATGTCCCAAACCTCCCACCACGTCTGGTCTCCATGCAGCTGTTGGGGACTGAACTCACCACCACGTCTGGTCTCCATGCGGCTATTGGGCACTGAACTCACCACTCTAGCCTAGAGGCAGCAGTGGGAAAGCGTGGGTTGGAAGAAAGCTTGCCAGACTTTATGCTGAGTGTGGCTCTTTGTCTCCTCCTAGTCAGGAGTTGGGCCACAAAAGTGCCCAAAGTCCAGTCTTTTCTCTCAAGCAGTCGTGTGCATGTTTTCAGACCTGGCAGTCCCATGATCAGCCTGAGAATCAAGGGGTAGTTGCCTACCTAATAACATTCAGCATTGCTTTAATTCCTGATAGGAGGAGACTTGACTTATTGTTAGAAGAAGCCGGAAAATTGAATTTCCATTCCATGGGATATTCCAAAAATATCAGGAGGTTTGTTGGTGATTTTTTTGCTGCTGTTCTCAATCAGAACAAAACATTGAAATTTACAGCAAAATGAGGTTTCCAAAAATTTTGTTTTGGAAACATCTAAACAGACCTTATCGAAATGTTTCAATCAGGTCAAAATCTTTCCACTGTTATGTTGTAATGTAATATACAATGTAATCAAATGGATGACGCTGAAATAAACTGTTGACATCGTTTTCCATCAAAAATTGAGAAAAACCGACACAGTCACAGGCAATGTGTCAATTTCATGGAATCGGTGTTTTCTGAGACCTGGTTTTCATCTAAAAACTTCAGTCGACCTAACTACATCTCTCAGGGCTGTGAAAAATGTTGCGTCCTGTGCGACATCGTTAGGTTGACTTACCCCCTAGCTGTAGATGCAGCTAGGTTGATGGAAGAATGCCTCCATCAACCCAGCTACTGCCTCTTGGAGAGGTGGACTACTTACAGCAACGGAAAAACCCCTTTGGTTGCTGTAGGAAGTGCCTACGTTTGGTGCTACAGCATCACACCTGCTGCACTGTAGCAGTTGTAGCGTAGATGTTCCTAGAGGGAAAGCTGTTCCGTTGGGAAATTTTCTCCCCGGCTCTCTGTATTATGTGTGTTCTAGTAATGCTTAGGCCTGGTCTACACTGGGGGGTGGGGGATCGACCTAAGATACGCAACTTCAGCTACGAAAATAGCATAGCTGAAGTCGACGTATCTTAGTTCAACTTACTCCCCATCCTCACGGCGCGGGATCGACGGCCGCCGCTCCCCCGTCAACTCCGCTTCCGCCTCTCGCTGCGGTGGAGTTCCGGAGTCGACGGCAGAGATCGATCCCCAATAGATCTATCCCTACCCGCCGATCCGGCGGGTAGTGAAGTCGTACCCTTAGAGGCCCCAACCAGTATCAGGACTCCATTGTGCTGGGCGTTTTATCTATACACTTAGCAAGAGGCAGTTCTTTCCTCCAGAGGCCTGCAATCTAAATACACAAAGCAGCCAAAGAATAATTATTCCTTATGACAGCTGGGGAGTGGAGGCCCAGAGAGTTTAAGTGACTTGGCCGAGGTCACGCAGGGAGTCTGTTCGTAAATCCAGATCACCTGAGCCCCAGTTCAAGGCCAGCCTTTCTCTCTGACTCTGCAAACATCCAAAGTTACTTAATGATAAGCTTTCCTCAAGACACACATGAAATATTTAACAGCAAGAAACACTCACAGATTTTGGTTTAAGATGGAGCCGTCCACCCAGGTCCATTTCTCCTCTGGGGATGTAACATTAAGCCCAATCCAAACGGGATATTTCCCTTGTGTGATGTTCTGTATGAACTCCTGTGGAGAAAAGCAGGAGCGTGAATTTAGCCTGGGGCAAAAGCAGTCGTTCTAAAGGACACCAGAGAACTTAATCCACAATCTCCAAAGAGGCCTTCAGTTGGACCCAAAACAAACACGGGGAGTTTTTCCCCCTATAGACCTGGCATATAACACTTGTTAGGAGGCTAACTGCTAGGCCTCAACATTTAATTTTAAACAAGGAATCGTCATTGAGCGGGTGTGTTTCCAATGGCGTCCCACAGGGACTGGTTCTTGGCCTTACGCTACTGAACATTTTTACCAAGGACCTGGAAGAAAAAATAAAATCATCACTGATAAAGTTTACAGCGGACACAACAATTGGGGTGCAGTAAATAATGAAGAGGACAGGTCAAGGATTTCTTGGTAAAATGGGCGCAAGCCAACAATATGTGTTTTTAATATGGCTAAATGTATATAGCTGAGAACAAAGACTGCAGGATGGGGCCTCTACCCTGGGAAGCCATGACGCTGAAAAAGATTTAGGGGTCACAGTGGATAATCAGCTGAACATGAGTTCCTAGTGGGATGCTGTGGCCAAAAGAGCTAATGTGATCCTGGGATGCTTAAACAGGAGAATATTGAATGGAGCAGAGAGGTTATTTTACCTCTCAATTTGGCCCTGGTGTGGTCGCTGCTGGAATCCTGTGTCCAGTTCTAGTGCCCACAGTTCAGGAAGGATCTTGCTAAATTGCAGAGGGGTCAGAGAAGAGCCGTGAGAATGGATTAAAGGATTTGAAAACCTGTGATAGACTCAAGGAGCTCAATCTATGTAGCTTAACGAAGAGAAGGTTAAGGGATGACTCGATCAGACTGTAAGTACCTACATGAGAAACAGATATTAAATAATGGGCTCTTCAGTCTAGCAGACAAAGGTAGAACACGATCCAAGGGCTGGAAGTGGAAGCTAGACAAACTCACACTGGAAATAAGGTGTACATTTTTAAGAGTGAGGGTAATGAACCATTGGAACAATTTACCAAGGGTCGTTGTAGATTCTCAGTCACTGACAATTTTTCAACCCAGATTTAAAACAAGAGGTATTTTTCACATGCCTAAGCAACATAGCTAGCCTGACCTAAGTTTTAGGTGTAGTTTGCACCCTTTATTTTTCACATTACCATCTCATCCTGGTCCTGGATCACCAGGATGTGAGACCTCTTCCTTGGACAGTCATCACGGCTCCCATTCCAGTCCTTATTCCCTTTAGAGAACCAGTAGCACTTTCCTCTGTGCGACAGCCAGTCCATGGGGCAGAGTCTGCACTCGGCGCCTCCACCTAGGGGAAAGGGCCACGGCATTAATGGGGCTGAAGACACTTCATGGTTCAACACTTTCCATGCAGCAGGTTCAGGCACTTGACTGTGAGTCAGGTGATCTGGCTTCAATTCCGAGCTCTGCCGCACACTCTACTGTGTGACCTGGGAAAAGTCATGGCAACCTGTTGTGCCTTGGTTTCCCCACCTGTCATATAAGGATAGTGCTACTTTGTTCATCTGTCTTGTAAGTTCTTTGGGGCAGGAACTGTCTCGCTGTGTGTCTGTGCAGCGCCCGGCACAACGGGCCCTGATCTCAGCTGGGGGAGGGACTGTCTCTCGCTGTGTGTCTGTGCAGCGCCCGGCACAACGGGCCCTGATCTCAGCTGGGGCAGGGACTGTCTCTCGCTGTGTGTCTGTGCAGCACCCGGCACAACGGGGCCCTGATCTCAGCTGGGGCAGGGACTGTCTCTTGCTGTGTGTCTGTGCAGCGCCAAGCACAATGGGGCCCTGATCTCAGCTGGGGCAGGGACTGTCTCTCCCTGTGTGTCTGTGCAGCGTCCGGCACAACGGGGCCCTGATCTCAGCTGGGGCAGGGCCTGTCTCTCCCTGTGTGTCTGTGCAGCGCCCGGCACAACGAGGCCCTGATCTCAGCTGGGGCAGGGACTGTCTCTCCCTGTGTGTCTG